GAAACGAAAAGGTAGAAGAATCATTCATTGGTTTGTGAAAGACAGAGCGTATCTCATTAAAGATATCATCTGTTTGCATTTCAGAAGTGAGAGTAATTTTCCCAATGAGTCCACTTCGAGAGAGATCATTTCGATCTCTAGGTATAGGAATGCTGCAGGAATTGGTACGATACGACATCGGTAGACAGATGATATCACGATGATATGTTGTCACTTTCCTGCAGTTGTTACTTTGAACAGCTGGTGTAGCTTTATTCTTACCCTTACTCTTAACAAAACTTGATGGTAATATTCTATAAAATATGAAATGCACAATAATAATAATAATAATGAGGATGATAATAAATAATAATAATAATAGTAACAATATGAACAATATAATAATAATAACAACAACAACAACAACAACAACAACAACAACAACAATAATAATAATAATAATAATAACAATAATACTAATAATAGCAAAAACCGCAATAATAGAAATAACTGACAGCAACAATAACACATTTATAATAGTTATAACTTATTAAAATTAATGTAGCACTAATTTCTACAAAAGCTAAGGCAACAAGGAAAAAACAAAGCATTAAAACAAGACTTTAGGTTTATATAATAATAACAATTATTATTAGTACTATTGCAAGTGAAAAAGTTAGCACAAAGGAGGTTTTACCATACTTTGTTTTCTTCCTAGGCGGAAGCTCACTGACAAAGTCATCATCATCTTCTTCTTCTTCATATTTCTTAAGAATGGAGTTAATGGCTTTTCCGATATCAGCTGCAATGGAGCTGGCACTGTGCTTGCTGGAACTCGCCATGTGTGATCGTGGTTAATGTTACCATAGCAACAATGACACACCCTTCATTATTTATTTTGTTATACTATTCTTAAACATCGCCTCAGGCCTTTTATGGTCTAAACTGCATTGCCCAATAGATTTAAATATCGCCTCCTATAGTTCTAAGCAATCGTCTTTTGTTTTGTATTGTAAATAGGCATGATGACTGAGCTAAAATCGCCTCATTTGACTGAAGTATTCACCTTTTAAAGACTCTTGGTTGTTCTAAACATTGCCTTAGATCTAAACATCGCCTTAGATCTAAACATCGCTTAATAGGTCTAAAGATCGCCTTAGATCTAAATATCGCCTTAGATCTAAATATCGCCTTCTATGCAGTTTTAAACAATCCATTTTAAATGGGTATACCTGCTAAACATCGCCTCGACTCGAAACTCATCTAAACTGTAGTACGGCCTCAGTATAATATCTAAACATTGCCCTCAGATGTAAACACCACCCTATAGATCTAAATAAAACCCTAAATATCGCCCTGTAAATCTAAACAATGTCAGGTATAACAAAATTTCCTTGCAAGTAATTGCTAAACATCGCCTCCGTGGAATTAAATATCGACTCCCCTAAAAACATTAAAAATTGGAATTTTGACACAGACGGCACCCCATAACAGTACAGGTGAAATTAGCAAATAAAAATGAGACACTTCCTCTATCTCACCTCAATGCTGTCAGAGAAGAGGAACAATGCTATAGACAATGGTTTATTAGTCTTTCCATTATTGCTAATATTTAACTCCAACACATCATGTCTTGAAATAAACAAACGATGAGGTGAAAGGACCGTTGCCTAAAGGGGAGGAGTCAGTTATTGAAGACCACACCCACTAATTACTGGGACGTCTTCAATGTCACGTATAAGTTCAAACA